AACATATTATACAGTGCAATTTGGACAACCTAACCTCAAAATATAGTATATATATAAATAAATAACTATAAAAGTATAAATCGTAAATATTAAAAATATTTTTTCACAGTATATATAATATATAATAATATAATTAAGTCAAAAACTATTCAATATTGGACTCATTTCGAAGGTATTAACGATACGATTATAATGGTGTAACTTATTAAAATAAAAATGTATTTTTTAAACATGTTTTAATTGATATACGATTGTGTATGTTAATTTGATAAATGTTTAAAATGAAACATTTAAAAGTAAAGAACATAAAGTAAATTAATTAACTAATTATAAGAGTATAAAATGTAACTTTAAAATTATAATTTTAAAAAAATCGGTTGTGAGATGGTGAGTGTATGTGAGGAGAGGAAGGGGTGAAAAAGTGAAAAAAGTGAAAGAATAATATAAAGGGTATTTTGATCATTTAGTATTTTAAGACTTTAAGACTTTTACTGAATTTGCTTAATAAGATAGTATAGATGTGGACTAACAATTAAATAAACATTTTAACTAACCATATCTAAAAAGTAGACTCAATATTGTGGATGTTTTTCGTCCACAAGTGTGTACCGTTATAAGTGTTTCATTTCATGATTCGGGTTATATCAAAGCATTTTCAAAAGCTTCTTTAAAATAAATAAAAATAAATATTTTAGAGATTGTTTTTGCTTTGATGGTTTTTCTAAAACAGAGAGTAGGAGAGAGAATGCAGATTTCTGATATTTTTACTTTTGTTTTCTAATATTTAGAGAAATTGTAAATAAACCTATTAAGATGATCTCAAACTCTCGATGAAACTTGGATAATTTGAGAACATCAATCATAAATGATGTCGATAAAACAAACTCAACACAAAATATAGATCAAAATTATGTCCGTTAAAAAAACTCGACCCAAAAACCATAAATACCACTGTATTTACACGTATTCAAAGCTCGATAAAAATTCGAGCCAAACTCTCCAACTCATATTTTGTTAGAGTATTTCTAATAGTTTTTCTTTAACTTTTTCTAAAATAGATAACCAAAACATAAATTTCTAAAAATAATTACATTCACTTTTAACTAACAGATTCTTTATTTTAGAGATTTTAATATAAATTATATTATTATAATATTCTCTAATTTATTATCTCAAAACACTTTAAAAGAAACTTTTTAAAAAATTAATAACTCAATCTCTGGAATTGAAAATGATTATTTTTCTCTCACGTCCAATTTTATGAGAATTCTTTATATTTAGAGTTTTTTTTTCTTGATTCTTTATTTTAGAAAACTAGTTGAGTACCTATGCAAGGCGGGAATTGTTAATTTTAACGATTTTGAAGTTTTACTGTTTTTATTAGAGAAAATTTAACGATAATATAAGTTACACTTGATCTTTAAATATTAATACAATTTGAATAAATAAGAGTTATAGTTCCAATTACAATCTATCGATGAAAAAAATTGTATTGACAGTTTAAAATCCAATATATTTAAACGACTCCACAAATGCGTTCGATCTAAACCAAGAGCAAATAATCGAGAGATCGAGAGCGAGACCGAGAGTTCTAGAGCAATTCAATGAGAAATGAATGAGAGAACTTTTAATAACTCATGGTGAATATCAGTTTTTATCTCACCTTGGGGATGAGGAGAAGACATAGAGATATAGGAGGGTAAAAACATGAGTGAAAGGTGTCAAAAGTATCTTGAAAACATGAAAATAAAAGGTGATAATGTGCATTGGTAATTTGCACTACATGTTATTTTAATGGTAGATTAAAAGATTTTAAGACTGAATACATAAAGTAGTAGTACTCAATACATTATAAGTTATTTTTAAGACTTTTAAGACTTTATGCATAAATATATAGTACTTTATGCATTAAAAATTGTATTTAAGACTTTTGATAAATCTGGTTTATAAGGTAATAAGGTAATATAGACTAGATAGCAAAGTTGTTGGAATTATTTAGAGAACAAAAACCTTCTTTTGGTGTTGCATGTTTGTAATTCAGCTCGAGTGTGAACTCGATCGAATTCTGAATCAAATTCAAGTTCGAATTATTGGTTTGTATGAAGATTGGTGTTCATCATGAATTCATGTCCCATTTTCATTTGTCTACTTGTCGATATTACCTTGATAATCTTCTTTATTATTAATCTCTCATTGACCTCACTATTATTTCATTAACACAAATTCTCTTTTTGTATCAAAATAACACATATTTCTTATTATAAAGTAAAAAAATTCTTACTTTTTATTAAAATTTATCAACCATAGTTTATATACTCTTGGTTTAAAATTACCTAATAAGAAGTACGTAAATTTAAGTACACTTTTATATATCTATAATAAAGATAAATAAGATTTCTTTACTCAGTAAATTATTAGTATTTCTTGTACTCAATTTTATACTAATGAAAAACATCTATTGAATTTTTTTTTTGTATTTACCGAAGGACACTACAAGAAAAGTGAGCTTTGATGATGCGCCTTTTAGCGAAGACATGTGTCACAAGTTATAGCGACGACATGTTTTTGTTATATACTATTTCTAATGATAAACGGACTTTTAGCGACAACAAAAGTCGTTGCTAAAAGCCTTGTTTCTTACAGTTGGGGCCCTGTATTTATGTTCGCCCAGGGCCTAAAAAATGTCAGAAACGGGCCTGGATAAGCCAGAGATTTCAGATTTGTCCATTGGGAAATCGAAATAATAATACAAAATTCATGAAGGAATCAATTCAAGTGTGTGAGAGATAAATCGATTGGACGTACCGGAATATGCGATGCCGGAGGTGGCGACGACGCACGTCTGAATAACAGTATTCTCTTGCCTCGTGAATGGCTGTTTCAACATACCAGATTTATCGAGGAATTTCGTCCATGTTTTCACGAAGAAAAACCCTAACAGTCCGGCGGAGACGTTCAACGAAGGAATGATTCCGGTAGTGAGATTAAGCTTCATGACGATGAACGTGAACAGAATCCCCAAAATAAAACTCACAACAAATGCACGAACCGTCAACTGGTTCTGCCATGGCGGAACCTTCTTGCTCTCGAATATCCTCTCGGTCGATTCCATCTCCATCGCCTCCGTGCTCCTCTTTCCTCCGTCGCCGTTCTGCAGATTGTATTCTTCTGCAATGCTTGCCGATGTCCTTTCCATCGCCATTAGCAAAAACTGAGTTCTGATTTCAGAAATTGGTGGAGTGGGGGTTTATGAAGGGCAGGGGAGGGTCGTTAGTGGGTGGTGGGGACTGGAATCAAAATTGGAATTGGAAATTTGGAATTCAGGAATCGGAATTGGGCTCCAATGATATGACAGCAAGCCTATGGGAATATGTGAAACCATTGAATATTTTCGCGCGAGGAGGTGGTGGTTGAATGTTGCTTTGATTTATTAAGGGGTTGATATTGCCACCCTGCAACACTTTCTACCCCTCTACTTTGTTCCCTCTCTCACATCCTTCTCCTCTCACACACCTCTCCCTCACACATTCACACGAAATTCACTGTTGAAAAATTTCAAAAATTTAAATTTACATATTTTACCTCTATAATTAGTTAATTAATTTATTTTATATCATTTTTTTTAAATTTTTTATTTTATATCCTGATCAAATTAACATACATAATCGTATATCAATTAAAATATGTTTAAAAAATACGTTTTAATTTTAACAAGTTATATCATTATAATCGTCGCGTCAATACCTTCGAAATAAGCCCAATAATGAATATTTTTTGACTTAATATTTTTAATATTTACATTTATAGTTATTTATTTAATTGTAAAAATAATTTGATTTGAAATAAAGTAAAGTTACTCTCGATTTTAATGTTTTATTTTATTATTTGTCTTTGTCAATGTTATAATACGATTTTATGTGTTTTTAAGAAATCAATAATGATTTTATTTTTGAATAAAATATATATTTGAAGATATTATAAAAATTTGA